CAAATATATTTAGTTGTTATTTGTTACTTATAACCGCGTGTACTGTATCAGGTTAACTTGCTACATTCTCATATCCCGTGTAAAGCCACGTTAAAAACGCGACGTGTCGATTTGTTTACGGACCTCCATGGAGGAGGGTTATGTGTGTGTGTTTGTGTGTGCGGTGTCCTCCTCCGAGGAGGGTAATGTGTGTGTGTGTGTGTGTGTGTGTGTGTGTGTGTGTGAGAGAGTCTGAAAAGAGCAGAGTGTGACAAGCTAGGAGATCTCCTTGCCATTTCTTGGAGTTTTTGCTCAATAAAATAGTTAATCTTCGCTATTTTCAAGTCCATCGTCTGTATTTACATTCACCCACTGGCAGCCAAAATCCATGCCTTACACTATGAAGCGTGTATGAACTGTGACTACTTTTATATTGTTGATTAGCTGCTGGGCATTTTACTGTCTCGCGCTGAAGGCAGTCAGTGTCGACCAATTGCAACAGACTGTCATCGGTCCAATCAGCGCAGATTAGCTTCGCGCTGAGGAGGGTTTTGGAACAAATGAATCGCTGGACGATTCATATGGGAGTCGCTGGGATAATTAGGTAAAAATAAATGCAGATTACAAGACCATGTAAGTGTTTTTTGACCTTGCATGCATACTAGACTGTTGTTGGAGACCTTTACAACCAAAATATGACCCTATTTCATGTATAATATGGGCTCTTTAACTGGCTGTATTTAACTTCCTAGCATCTGGGGATAAGATTGACTAGTTTGATAGTGATTGATAGTGTCGCTGTCACCCCAGCAGGATCGCTCTTTATTCCTGGGCTTTTTAATTTTCAAATGCGTCCGTGAGTGCAAGTTTCCAAAGTGGTATGCAAACTAAAGGTATGTTTGTTATGATTTTAAATAATTGTGCGCGATCTGTTTAGCAACTTAACATATTGTTATCCATTTAGTAAGGATAAATGATTGAGGGACAGACGGAGAGTCTGGAGCCACAATTGTGATACTGCTGCTTTTATCTAGTTGTTTATTGATGTTGCTTTTAAAGTCCGTTTGAGTATGCTGCTTGGAGTTCGCTTTGATGCATGCTTTCATCATATGATACTGGATTAATGTGCTAACTTTAATGTGAAGATTCTAACTACTGCGCTGTGAATCACTGAAGCTATTTGCCTTCACATTGTGAACTTTACACACGGATTCAGTCAATTGTGTATCAATAAGAGTATAGCAGCTGATACATTTGTGTGTGCGAGTTCATCTGTTTTCTGTGCTTTTATTACTTTTCTTCATTTGTGCTTAATCCATTGTTTTGTGTGTTTTATTTGAGCTTCCTGTGGGAAGTTTATTCTTTTGCGTAAGTTTAAATTGAGATGATTATTATTATTATTATTATTATTAGTATTAGTAGTAGTAGTAGTAGTATTTCAGTTTTTCTCCTCTTGTAAGGAGATATTTTTATGAATGTATTTGTTTGGGGATTCCTGTCTTTTGTGTGAGATTGTGACTTGTGAATTGTGTACAATTGTTAATTGTACTTTTTTTCATAGTGGGAGTCGAGGCTTCCAGGCAGGCCAAAAGTTGTCCCTCGTGTGCGGTGGTGGGATACAACACGGAGTGCAGTGTGTGTTGTGTGCTCACGTATGCTTGTGTACGGTGCACTTTCGGTAAAACCATTTGTATTTTTGCGGAGTTTTGTGCTATGTAACTAGTTTACCTGCCACCTGTGAGCCTCTAACTCCTCACATTGTCATTGTTGTTTCTTGACGTGACTGTGCTGCTACTATTGGCGATTAAGCTTTTAAAAGAGATTTTTATATTGGATAATTAAGGAAAATAACGTTTTGTATTTTTTTGGTATTCACGTCTCATGCCTTTTCCTTACACCAAGAACCTGTGGTAAATTCTCTGTGATCAGGATGGTGTAGTCGGCTTTAGTTTAGTATTCATTTTCTCCCAACTTACCGTTCCGCTACATTAGCAATAAAAAAAATGTTATTATAGAGGCCAATGGAGAAAAAACAGCAATAAATTTAACGAAAAGGGAGTAAATTTGCCCAGAGTGTACTGAGTTTTTCTTTTGTTTTTAAGCATTTTCCCAGATTATGTCAAAATAAGATGTCCCCAAATATCAATCCGTTTGCTGAAACAGAGAAAGTTTTGGCCAAATTAAGATTCAAAATCATTCCAGAAAGGATGAAAATGACCCAACAGCACACAAGGGGAGAGGTGCACATTACAGCCATTATGCAGATGCTGTACAGGTATGTCTCATGTCTGTGAGGCAAATATTCAGCTGTTTGTTCAGCTGTTACCCCAGAACTTTTTTTCTGATGCGTTTACCGGTCAGGCACAGAATAAACAAGTATTCTCTGTCTGCTTTACAAATTTTAGAAAAACATTTTGCTGTAATTGTGAATATATACAAATAAAAATAGGCCATTTACAAATATGTGTCTTATCCATATGACCAAAATGACTTTTATGGTCAATTATGTAAAACTCTGAAAACTGTACTGACAGAGTTAAAATTTACTATAACTTCAATGTTAAAGAGCATATTGTAGGTTAGCCACCCCAGTGAGACAATGTGTGTAAGAGTAAAGTAGGAACTAGATTGTCTTTAAAATATACGTTAAAGTTTATCATTAAGCCGTTTAGAGTCGTTTTTAGTCACGGAAATTTACTTCCACATCTGAAAAATTGCCAGACCGGAAGTGACGTCGGATGAGGGAGTCCGCGCAAATAACAGTATGAAGACAACTGATCGCGGTGCGCGTTTGGATGCTGAGATAAGATATTCTGAGAGACTCACACAAACAACGGACCACAGCCATACAATTATGAGCCTGTGGACAGACCAGCAGACAGAACAGCAGTCAGAGAAGTGTAATTTAACTCTATTGTGAGGAGAACAGAGCAGGTTCATGTTGAGACTAGTGTTGGCTTACAGAGAGATATGCATGATAACAAAATATTTTCTGGCAATAGCAAAGCCAGTATTGATCATCTAAAAATATTAATACTTACCAGTAACAGAAACTGAGTATTTAACACAGTTATGCCACATAAGCAGTGATAATACCTGCATTTTTGCTCTTTATGTATAAGTATCTGTGTGAGTGTGTGTATACTGAAAGGAAAATATATCATTTGATCCATTTAAAAGTAAACCTAAAATAATTTTTCAGTAAGTTGGCCAACATTCATGTGGGTACCACACCATCATGTCTTTAATGTGTGCTAAATTTTGAATGCTGTGTAAAAAGATGCCGACAGCCTCATCCGTGTAAACCCGCTGGAAGGATCTAGAAAGGAGAGCAAATGTAGTGGACAGTTCTGCATTCTCGTCGAGCCTGTGATGACCTCCAGTAGTTCACTGTCAGAGACGCAGTGATTGCTGATGCATATATTCTGGGGAAATCATGTTTAATAATAATTATATTTTAAAATTCACCATATGATTTTTAATATAACATAATACAGAAAACCCAACCACATTTGCAGACCCCTGGATAGTGAACTGCAAACCATCTCGCATATACAGTAGACTGTACCCATTATAAGTTGAGCATGTGAATACAATACAAGCTAGCAGCAGTGCTAGGCTACTCCAAAGTAAACACATCGTGTTGCTTCAAATTACTCAAATAATCATGCTTACGGACTTGAATGTTGACAAACATAAACGTAAAACGAGTTGTCTTACCGTGTACAGCTCTCGTTTTCATCGAGTTGCATCTCCAACTGATCCAGGAGTGTTTCTCGCCGTTCGTGTCAGCTATAAGTCTTATTGGATTCATCCCATTTCACGAACCAAAATAGAGACAGGAAACTTGTGGACTTGATCTGTTGACATGCTGGAGTTTGTGCAGTTCCCATAAACGCAATAATATAGCACGATGTAGAGGTCTGCATGTAGAGGTCTGTCTCCCGCAGGACAGTCGCGGGACCCGACCAGATTTCTGCGGTCGGTAACAGGTTTATTTTGGGACTGGAGCAGGCCGTCTAGCAATATCGCTCCGGACTCCCGAGCGAGCACTCGTATGTATGTGTTTAAATGAAATAGCGTGATTCTGTGTTTAGCTTGTTTGTTGCTGTGTGTGTTAGTGCGAATGAGAGATAGAGCTTTGTCTGTGTGTGTGTGCTTGGTGCTTATGTGTGTGTGTGTGTGTGTGTTTATACAGACAGCTTGTTATAGGCTGTCTGGACTCTATATAGCTGGGTGGTTTTTGATTTTGTTCTCCCCCCGCTCTTTAGCAGGATCGGGCATGGCGGGTAGAAAAGGGGGCTGGGCGGGCAGCAGGACAACAAATGCTGAATATAAGAGGGAGCGGTCGGGTTCGGGCTAAAACCTGGCGGGTGCGGGCGGGATTCAAAATTTAGTCCCGTGCAGATCTCTAGCACGATGATGATAAATTACGCCAAAAATAACAGCCATTTCTGCTATTAGCTCCTCTGCCCCACTGTAATCAGCGCGCGTCTGTCAGATAACTCACTCTTCTGAAGTCACCGGGACTTTCCGGAAGTGGGAAAACAGACACATTTTCAAACGATTCTACCTTTTTTGAAAGTTTTTTTAACCTACAATATGCTCTTTAAGCAACTTTGACACAATTTACATTGTAAAAGCACTAGATAAATAAAGATGAATTGAATTAAATATGCTTAAATGTGGAACAAACACAATATGACCTGATTTATTTTACAAATTAATGTGCATCAAAATTACAGTGTGTGTAGCCAATGTTTCTAGTGTCTTTTCAATTTTTTGCTTTTGATGAAAGTTTTTAAGACTTAATGAAAACTAATGTTTTTTTTATTTTATTTATTTCAGACCTAATTGAAGAGAATAAGGGGAGTAAAGAGGAGGAACATCATGTCAAAATTGAGGGAAAAACACATTTACAGACTGATGGTATTTTAAAAAGGAGAGACAGTAATCCTTTCATCTGCACCTGCACTCAGTGTGGAAAGAGTTTTGGAAAAAAAGGCAATCTTAAGATTCACATGAGGATCCACACTGGAGAGAAACCATTCACATGCACTCAGTGTGGGAAGAGTTTCAGCATATCATCATCTCTTAATCAACACATGAGGATCCACACTAGAGAGAAACCATTCACATGCACTCAGTGTGGGAAGAGTTTCAGCCTATCATCAAACCTTATTAAACACATGAGGATCCACACTGGAAAGAAACCATTTACATGCACTCAGTGTAGGAAGAGTTTTGGCCTATCTTCAAACCTTATTAAACACATGATGATCCACACTGGAGAGAAACCATTCACTTGCACTCATTGTGGGAAGAGTTTCAGCCAATCATCACACCTTAATCTACACATGAGGATCCACACTGGAGAGAAACCATTCACATGCACTCAGTGTGGGAAGAGTTTTAACTGCTCATCACACCTTAATCGACACATGAGGATCCACACTGGAGAGAAACCATTTACTTGCACTCAGTGTGGGAAGAGTTTTAACTGCTCATCACACCTTAATAAACACAAGAGGATCCACACTGGAGAGAAACCATACACATGCACTCTGTGTGGGAAGAGTTTCAGCCAATCATCAAACTTAAATCAACACATGAGGATCCACACTAGAGAGAAACCATTCACTTGCACTCAGTGTGGGAAGAGTTTCAGCAAACCATCATCCCTTAAAATACACATGAGGATCCACACTGGAGAGAAACCATTCACATGCACTTAAGCTGTAGTCACACTGGACTTTTCTCCCCATAGACTTCCATTCCTACGCACGCAAATGCATCAGATCGAAAACACAAGTTTTGCAGTTCACTGCGTGGAAAAGTTCAAGCTTTGTGAACTCTGACCTGCGAAATCGCATCACTTGACTGTGTGAGACCAATCGAAAATCAAAACATGACCTCTCTGGACAGATATGTAAAATATGGACCAATCACTCACTTTTTAAAAATGTCTAATCATCTTGTTTAATTCCACCCCTTTTCACAGCACCATACAACAGAATTTTGCATGCTCAAACTCTAGTGTGACTGCAGCTTCGGTGTGGTAAGAGTTTCAGTAACTCCTCAGACCTTAAAGAGCATATTGTAGGTTAGACACCCCAGTGAGACAATGTGTGTAAGAGTAAAGTAAGAATTAGATTTTCTTTAAAATAAACGTTAAAGTTTATTATTAAGCCGTTTGGAGTCGTTTTAAGTCACGGAAATTTACTTCCGCGTCTGAATCGCCAAACCGGAAGTGACGTAGGACCAGGGAGTTCGCGCATATAAACACTATGAAGACAACTGATCACGGTGCGCGTTTGGATGCCGAGATAAGATATTCTGAGAGACTCACACAAACGACAGACCACAGCCATACAATTATAAGCCTGTGGACAGACCAGCAGACAGAACAGCAGTCTGAGAAGTGTAATTTAACTCTTTTGTGAGGGAGAACAGAGCAGGTTTATGGTGAGGCCAGTGTTGGCTTACAGAGAGATATGTAAGATAACAAAATCTTATCTGGCAACAGCAAAGCTAGTATTGATCATCTATAAGTATTAATACTTACCAGTAACAGAAACTAATGAGCATTTAACACAGTTATGCCACATTGACACTATTTTTAATAGTAGATAAGTGAATACAAAACACAAATAACACCAGAACGTCTGGAATAATGCAGAAACATGTAAACAAGGTACTGGAAAATCTTTTTTATTTTACAAAAAGTTTTCAGAGTTTTTGTATTAAAATAAAAACAACATCAAATATTAAAACAATTAAAATAAGTTTTTAAATATGTCTTTTTTTCATTGGGTATAAGATTATCTGTATCAGATCCCATTTAGGCTACAATCCATAAAAAGACAAGTAATTACATCATTAATAACAATGTTTGTCCCAGTTGAGACAGTGAATAAGTGGAATTTTATTTTATATCTTTTGTAATGTAATAATGTACATGTAGCATAAATTTTTTTTGAAGACAACATTTTCATTTCCAAAAAGAAAAAAATTTCTACATTTTGAAAACTACTGTTTTATTACATGTAAAAGCAGTGCATTCAAACTATTACTTTTGTATAACATGTCTTTATTGAGTTTTTTCAAGATTTTACATTACCCAAAAATTACCCTAGACAGGTTTAGGAAAAAATAAAAAATAAATACAAATACAAATAAATAAAATAATAAATTACACATATACATATACACATAAAAAATATAACAAATAAATAAATAAAAATAAAATCAAGCACCAACTAACATCCCACAACTTCAGACTTCCGAAGCTTCTTCAATATCTCCGTTTTTTACAAAGTTCAAAAACACCTCCCAGATGTCACAAAATTCAGAGGATTTTTTCCTTATTATATATGTGAGCTTTTCAAGAGCCAAGCATGTTATAAGGTTTCTCAACCAAAATCCAATGGAGGGGCGATTAACTTTTTTTCCAGCATAAAGCAATACAACGCCTTGCTTGTATTAAACATAAATCAATCAATTTTCTTTCTTTAGTAGACAAGGCACAACTGTATTCATACATATTCAATATATCAAACTATTACTTTAAATTGAAGTTACTTATATTTTAGTCTGTTACTAAATTTAATCTATGTCTGTGAAATAGAAAATTAAAGAAGATTATTAATTTTAACTTTGTTACTGGATTATAATTAGGGATGAATTAATGCGTGTGCATTATTATATTATTGGTTTATTATTGAAGATGCATTAATGTGTGACCCTTATATTATCGCTTTATTATTAGTGATGAATTATTGTGTGAGCATTATTCTATTATTGGTTTATTATTAGTGATGCATTCATGCGTGATCCATATTGTTTTTTTGCTTTGTGATTGATTTATTAGATTAGTTTATGATTAGTGATGTAGTCATATGTGAGCGTTATTATAATATTTGTTTATAATCAGTGACTGATGAAATGAGCCTTATATTTATTATAAGTGAGTGATTCATTGATGTGTTAGAATAATGCACGGGCATTATTGTAACTATGGTAGTAAATAATAATATAAAGTGTTGTAATGTATAATAACTGCATTAAAATGTTTGTAGTAAAACTTTAAAGAGTGCTTGGTCGGCTAAGTTAATCTTACCAAATAACGTTATACAACATCTATAACAATCATATAATAATCGTGTTGTAGTAATTAATGTTACTGTAATGGTTATTCATTTAAACCAACTTGTTATAAAAATACTTAGTTTGCAATTGTTGTCCGAATTAATCTGCAACGAATTCTGTTATTACAGTACAAATCTTGAATGGTATAAGGGCTCTGATTGGCCATAGCGTTCATTGTAAAAATCTTGGTTCCAACTCGGAACGTGATTGGCCAGTGTAGCCAAGAATAACCACGACTTACAGGTGCCAGTATGCGCCACTGGCCCAGTCTGCACTGTGTGGCATATTTGCTGACATATAACAGAGACTGAAACATTGCTCACACTTGTCTGAGGAGGTCATTTTGACTGCAATCTTGTTTTAGACTGGCACTTTGTTTTTGAATATTGTCTGCTTTTCGAATGCGTGTCTGTGCTGCAGTAGAACGCCTTAGCCTCACAGCAAACATTTTGGTCTACAAGCTTGCACAAGTGCCACTCATACACTTACGCACTTTCTCATACACAGTTTCTTGGTTTCCGTAACCGAGAACCTTCTGATCCGTAGTCATAAGCGCTAACCTTTGTGCCGCCGTCACTCTGTTCAGCACCTTGTTAGCACATTGCTTGGAGCAAGGACAAGGCTCTGTCAACCGGGAGTTCCTTCACCACACATTCTGCTTTGTTTTTATGGCAAGAGGTTGTGTGGATGGGATGCTCTTACAGGATTCCTGACAGTCCCTCCATAGAAGAGCTGAGATCCAGGGTCGGAGACTCACTCCTCTCCAAGAGGAGGTTAAAAGCAATGGTTTCTTTTGTGTCTGTGTGTCAGAGCGCTTAGGTGTTGCTGCAGCTCAGAGACCTACAAGTGGAGGAGATTACACTGCAAGTTGCCTGGATGACCTCTAAGTGGTAGGCACTTATGCCGCACGTAGGCTGGGTTTGCGATTGATGTAGCTGCACTGTTAAAAATTGTCCCGTTAAAAAACAGTAAAATACTGGCAGCTGCAGTTGCCAGCAATGTACTGTTATTTTACAGTATGTTGCTGTAAAAATACATGGACTACATTGATTTACACAATACTCAAGTGAACTCATTTTGCTCACTGAAAGCAACTGCCTCAACTTGGTCAACTGCTGAATGAGTTTATGAAGTAATGTGCTATATATGCTTAGAAGCATACTTATAATGATAACTTATTTTAGTTAATTAGAAAAGTTCGGTTTAACTCTAATGTCTTATTTTCACAACAGCACACATACATGTAAATCTGGAATCACCAGAGAGATTCTGACTGCATCAGCAACTAAACAGCCGCTATCTTTAAATAGAGAAACATGCAGAATAACATCAGCAGTTCATTGTTCATCTTTAACTCATACACTGGCTCTACTCTCCTCCACAACGGTGACACACAGAAGAAATTAGCTTCAGGTTTTACAGTAAAATACAGTTTTTTCCTTGATTTAACAGTAATCTACTGGCAGCTGTGGTTGCCAGCAATCTACTGTTTTTTTACAGTCTATTTCCGTAGTGTAAATTAACAGTATATTACTGTTAAAATACATTTTTACACTGTGTTTTTACCTCTCACACCTTTAACCCTTTAAACCCCAGAGCATATACTTCAGTTTTAATTGAAGTGTCCACACTACTGAGTGTTCAAGAAACATGGAGCAAAGCTGAAGTGAATTAATTAATTAAATGACTAATTAAATGATAATGGAAGATTAACAATGAACAAATGAAGAAATACTGAAGGGAAAAAACAAGAACAGAACATACAAAACTTTAGTCACAGCTTTATAATGAAATAACCTGAAGAACAACAAATGATTAAATCATTTAAATGATCAGCGGATGATTAAACAACTCTACAAACATCATCACCAGCTACACTTATTACTTAAGACATGTATTTTTGTATAACATCTACTAAAGTTCTTCTTGAGAAAAAGTGAAAGTTTTGCGTCACCATCATGGAGAACAGAGTTTGCTTTAGTTGGGCTCTTAGCCCTGTCATTTTGAACATTTATATATCTTGGCTGCTGCAATTGTTAAGAACTTTGTTTAAAAAGCTCCTTTGTTGTGGCAAGTCAGCCAAAAACCTAAATAAGATCTGGTGATGTTCATGTTGCTATTAAATGGCAGAGTCTGTTCTCATTTAGTATAATAAAATTTACTGCTCCTATTCAATGTTAAATCTATTGTTTTACATTATATGTCTACATAAAGCAATGATTTCTGGAAGTTTTTAAGTATATCTTGGACAATAACAGTGCTCTATGATGTTAATCGCACTCAAAGAGACATCAATAATCAGCATATGAACCTCAATAATGGTGACAACTAACAAAATTAACAGTTTAACTCACAAACAGGCAACTGAAAGTCTAAACATAAACAACAGCAGAATCAAACACAAATAAAGAAAAGTGTGAGACCATTATACAACATTTATTTATACCGCAATGCATGCTGGGACATTTGTACCGTGCCACTCCCAGCATGCATTGCAGCATGAAACATTTGAGATGTTACCATTGTTGAGATACAAGGTCAGATTCATGAGGTCTGAGTGTGTATTTGTCATAACTGAACTGTTTTTGTATGTTATTTCTTAACTGTTAAGTAATTACAGAGGTATCTTTTCTTTTTCCACTTCTTATTAATTAAATTAATACCTGCAACTAAGCATAAAATCTATTGCATGAGGCCCTTCTCCCAGATTTATAACAAAACATTTATCAGAACTAATTTCAGACAAATGGATTTCTTTAATTATTGACTTTCCAACTTGATTACTACTATACAAGCATTTTGTAAATTCTTTATTATAGTAATTGGAGAGTCTGAATTAATAAGATCAAGGGTGAAGAGCCCAACTAAACCAGCCCCTCACTCCATTACGGTGACACAAAAAACACCTTAATTTCTGTTGGATCTCAATGAGAATTGTATGGAAGTCAAATCAGTCAGTAATAAGTGTGTCTGCTGTTGTTTGTGGAGTTGTTTAATGATCCTCTGCTGAGACTGAAGGTGTTTTATTTTACTTGGTTTTATTTATTGTTGTAACTCAAGTGTTGTTTGTGTTACTTGTTTCTCTTTTCTTCAGTAATTGTGATTATTAACAGCAGGTGTTCATCAGTGTCTGAATTCACTCATTAGTGTTCATTAAAACTGTCAGGTGAACTATATTAGTGAACTAGTGTATAAAATAGTGAACAAGGACACAAAGCATGATTTCAAACACAGACTTCAAAACATCGAATCTGAACTCTGTTAGCTCACAGTTTTCTGCAGTTGGTTACTTTCTCGAAAACAAAAATGTTACCCAGAAAGCACTGTTTTTAACAGAATATTACTGTTTTAGTGAAAAAACATTATTTTACCGTAGAATCTGACCGTTTTTTAACAGCAATTTTTTACAGTGCATTTGTAGTCATGGAAAATGTGTTTTTGCAAATTTGAGTCCAGAATGCAGCATTGGGATTAATAGATAAGTCTGTTTGCCATTTAGTGGTTGGTAGAACTAATGCATTGTCTGATTTTGATATCATTTTGTATATTTGGGAGAGCAATTTTTTAGAGGAAGATATATTGATAAGCTCTGAGATTTGAGGTGGAAGGTCTAGATTGATTGATTGGTTAGGTAATTTTGACTTAATTGATGATTTGATTTGTAAATATTCCAAAAAAGCAATTACTCCCAATGCTGTATGTCTTGGCTATATGGGGAAATGGTGCCAGATTATTATTAATAAAGATATGTTGAAGTTGTGTGATTCCTTTGGCTGCCCATGTGCGAAAGTTAAGTGGCTTCTTGTTGGCTAGGAAATCAAGGTTATTCCAAATTGGGGTGTATTTAGATGGTGTGAGTGGGGAATTTGTGACCTGATGGAATTTCCACCAGGCTGTCAGAGTTGCTTCTATTGTCGGCATTTTAAAACAGTGATGTTTCTTGATTGATTGACTGTGAAAGGGTAATTATGGTGGCTTGAAAAGCCAACATACTGTTATCTCACGTAAACTTATTATTAGGCTGGCTTGTCAAAGCCAGACTACTGAAATGCTATTTAAACTTATTATTATTTTTTTTTTTTTTATTATTCTTCTTCTGAGACTAAATTTCTAACTCTATCTCCTCCTAGAGCTTTTAAGCTATTACCACCAAACTCGCTCCAGACCTCCAAACTATTCTGACTCGTGTTGCTATATCTCCTCAGACTGATCCGACTTTCGGTTTTCCGAAAAACGTCCCGGGACTGTCGAAAAAATCCCATAGGCTTAACATTGGATCAAACTTTGTGAGCTCATAACTCTGCGTCAGACTGGCGCACAGACTTCTAACTGGGCTCATTTAACTCAGACTATCAAACTGTCAATGACTGATCACCTTTAAACTTTCTAGCCACGCCCTAGCAACCACTTTTTGACCCTAGTAACTGTCCCATAGACTTCTATTCAAAAGACTCTCATTGACTTAACATGGGATCAAACTTTATGAGTTCATAACTCTGCATCAGACTGTCATACAGACTAATGGCTGAGCTCATTTAACTCCGACTACCAAACTGCCAATAACTGATGAGCTTTTAACTTTCTAGCCACACCCCTAACTACCACATACTGCACCCTAGCAACTGTCCCGTAGACTTCCATTACAAAAGACTCTCATTGACTTAACATGGGATCAA